AAAGAAGTCCCAAAATCAAAGATCAGAAAGGCTGTTGAAATCCTAGCAGTGAAATTTTCCGAGGATGAAACAGACTAGATGCACATTATAAAAGTAAATCATAACTTTAAAATAAGTGACTCTAAGCGTCAGTTCCATTATTTTCAGTCAGAACGTCAAAAAAACTGCACCCACAAAATGTAAAGCCTGTCTTTTAATCATTAAAAGGAGGGACAAACGTATTTTTTTTTTTTTTGGTCGGGGGTGCAGATTTGTGTTTTAAGATGTAGTTGTAAAACAAAAGAAAATAAAAGGACTTTTTATTTTTCAATGCTGAAGTGTGTCTATTCATCTAGCACTTTTGTTTCCAAACAAAGATAACCTAAGTAAATATAAAACAGTTTAAAAATAATTTTATTCCTAAAGGTAAATAAGTGGTCTGAACTAATCGAGCCTCATGTGCTGTAGCAACAAACCAAATAACTGGATTTTTAACCCTTTCCAGAGACAACTCTTCAGGTTTAAAAAAAAAAGGCCCAATCAGATTTGCTGGTGTGGTTCAGATATTTGCCTTGCCTCATAACCAATCAAAGTTTTATCTTAAGTTCCTAAACTTTTCCCTCAATTACATAATGTTTTCCAGCTCTTCAAGAAACTATGGTTTGCTCTTGTTTTTACCTTTTTTGTTTTTTTAAATGCTTCTAGTTTTATGCCAGATTTACTGGATGCACAACTTCCCAAAAGTTCTACTCTAGTCTCATCTGTCCAATATGTTCTGTTTTTCAGTGATATTTCTTGTTCCCATTGCAGCCTGAAGTGACCCCAATCCGATTTTTTTTTTTTTTTTGCCCACATGGGCCATGTATCTGATTTCGTTTATGATGGTCTGAGATGCACAGATCCATTTTTTTTTTCAAATGCAACCCAGGCCACTTGGCCATGTGGTCCTAAATCCGATACATATCTGATCTTTTCAAATGCAACCTGTGTCTGTACAACCAGGTCGCATTCATCTGACCAGAACCTAATAAATACTCAATAAAGTTCCCTGCTCTGCATCTTACAATTCAGAAGCAGGGAGAAAAACAACTATGGTGGACGATAATGCAGAGAGCAGTCTTTCCTTTTGATCTTCTTGAAAAGATTGCTTTGTTAAGGCGCTGGCTCCTGGGTGTAAATAAATGTAAGATCACTACATGCGCTCAAGCACTACATGCATGTTTACTTACGTAAACGCAGAACACGCTCGCTACTTGTGACGCTACTGCCTTCTCTATTGCATATGCAGTTAAGTTGTATCAATGCAGTTCACACAGGAGATCAGATACAAGTCGCATATGTTTAGAAATGTGAATTACTACACAAAATTGGATTTAAATAAAAAAATATCAAAATTGAGTTTTAAGGCCTGCAGTGTGAACACCACATTAAAAACTTAAATTCTCAGAACTTCTTCAATTCTGGCCTTGGATCCCCAGTACCTTTAGGATGTGTCTCTGTTCCACACCTCTTTAGCATGCAGTCCTGCTAATGACTTGATTATTTGACCCCGGTGTGTTGAAGCACAGATGCTTATAAAAGGTGGAGGACATCAGACCTCGAGCACTGGAATTGAGCAACCCTGATCTCGGTGCTGTTTTTGGTTCTTTTGAGACCTTCTGGGTGATTATTTGATGTGTTCTTGGAGTAATTTTGATAGGTTGGCTTCTCTTGAGAAGGTTTACCACCGGCTTATGTTTCCTCCATCTGTGAATAATGGCTCTCACTGGGGTTTACCACAGCCCCCTTCTGTAGACTAATAGATGTTTATGATTTTGTGTCTTAACCATTCTTGAATTTGTTTAGGTCCAGGCCATGATCTGTTGCTTTGGGAGATCTTTTGGCCTATTTCATGTTGTTTTGCAGGATCTATTTGGTGGTTTCTTGATTCTACAAATCTGGGAGGGACAGTCAGCACTAAGTGTATCTTGTAAAATTGAACTCAACTTTCTTTTTTTTTTCATGAATAACATGTTCACTATAATGCATTTTCTCTTTATTTAGATTATGTCCCAATGGTGAAACTGGAAACGAGTGTCAAAGCATTAACCTCGAGGGGAGCAAATACTTATTTAGAGTGCTGTTTTACAGCTTTCCGTCTCATCTCAACCTCTTTCTGGTTTGAAACTTACCTCCCTCTTTTTGAAGCATACACTCTCAAATTGAATATCTCGCTCCACTCTGAAGAATGACCTCATCTCCTCAGAGCGTTGTCTCAGGTTTCACACAGAGCAGACGGTCTCATCGTCCAACTCAGCCGCTCACTCAGAAATGTTTCTGCCCTGTTTTTCCCATCATTGCTAGGAGAGAATAAGACCCTGACACAGGAGGAAACAATGAGGAGATAATGCTTACGTGCATAGGAGGGAGACAAGGGGGGATAGCAGTGAGGCCGCCGAGGGGACGGGAGGCTGCAGTACCAAATTTGGAAAATGAATCCTTCACATCAGAGCAAAAGCCCCCCTTTTATTGTACAAACAGCCAATGGGTCCAGCTCACATCTGTACTTGTTTTTCTTCTAAGCTTTCTTCGCTTGCACATTCTACTCTTTTTATGACTTCAGGGAAATGCAACAGCAGATATCGTAATCCTATTTTGAGAACTGGAAATTTCCTTGAATTGTTGAAAGACTTGATAGCTGATTGTCTATAGCATCCGCCTCTGTATTAACCAGCTGTTACCACCAAAGTAGGTCAAACTACACCTGTACCTCTGCTGTCTGTCAGTATTCACATTTCTTTGGCTTAAAAAAGGCTTATGCTGATGAACTAAAATGATTAAAGTACTTTCTCTTGTAACTCACCATCCATGGTATGGTAATGGTAAGCATGTGTCCCTGGGGTCCAATGTCCTGGATGGTTTTAATCTTTATCTGTTTTAATCTACTGATGCTATTGCTCAGGTAACTCCTCAGCCTCTCAGGGGCCTACAGGGGCCCATTATATCGCCCCCTACTGGGCTACATGGTGTCTGGAATTCCAAAACAAAAAACAAGTCTTGTTTTTTTTTTTTTTTGCTTCTGTTTTTAATATCTATGCTAAATGTAACATCATGTTCTTCATCCACTGTGGCAGTACTGGTACAATAGTATTTTTAAATGGTAATCACCAATCTCCAGTATCACACCATGCCTCATCATCACATCATTACATTATACACGTTTGTCAATGTTTGGATCCCTAGTTCCAGCCATATCATACTATAACTCAGCGTTCTGGATAATGGCACAGAGAACTCGCTGCCAAGAAAGATACACTCAGTCTTTGCCCGCTTTTCATTTCCAAATCTCTGATATGATAACTGTACAGAAGAACTGCTTTAATTAGATAAACTGCTTGGGAAACCATTAGTTTTTATACTTAACAAGCAGGCATTATTAGGGTTTAACAGACTCACATAATAAAAACTGTCTTAATAAAACTATCATTTCCATTTGGGAATAGTTTTTGTTACAGATAATGGGAATAAAGATAAAAAGAAATAAAAAAAAATGCATTTTTATCTTGGAAAATATGAACCCATATAACTAAAATATCCTGCATGTTGGCTGAACTACGTATTCTGTCACCCGTCCTCAGTGAAATACATCCGCGAGGTGTCGCCGCTCTTCAAGAAGCCGTCCCTGGTGGCCGACCTGCCGTGGGACGGCGTCCGCCCACAGTCTCCCAGCTACAGCGGCAGCGAGGACTCTGGGTCGCCCAAACACAGCAGCTCATCGTCCACATCCAAAGATAGGAAGGTCATCAGCCTGAAGATGTGCTTCATCAGCAGGAACCTCACCATGCCTGATCTAGAGAACAGGTTTGTTGTTATGCTTAGTTTGAAATACCTGAGGATGTGGGAGGGTTAGGTGTGGCTGGGTGTGGGATTGGTCCCTGTGTGTGTCTCTCATGTTCATTAGATTGGAATGTTTGTTTTAACAGACATTACTAGCAGGACACCCACGGCCTCCTATGAACATGTTCATCTAAAATGCGGAAGATAAATCACTGGATCAGCCTCCTCACCGCTGTGTTGGACTGTTTTGCCTACAGCTTGGGAAAAAAAGTGGCTTCAATGCAAAGAAAATGTGCAAGCATTAAAGATTAAAGTGATGGATGGTTAAATGTCTCTAATGATGAGGAAAGTCAGCCAAATGGAAATGTGTCTCTAGTCCCCATCAATATGTTTTCTCCTGTTTTTCTTGCTGTAGTGGTGCTAACATTCTCATTAAAGTTTGGGGTAAAATTAAAACATAAGTTTATGAAATACTGCAAGGGGGAAAAAAAAAAGAAGCTTTTACATTTTTACAGTTTCCCCACATTATCTTTTTTTAATTCCTTCTTTTCCATGTAGGCTGCTGGAGCTGCACTCCCCGGATGGCCAGCACACCGTGGTGCTACGCTGCAAAGATGGAGCTTCTGCCAACGCCTGGTTCACCGCCATACACACCAACATAGCCGCCCTCCTGCCACAGACCCTGGCACACATCAACGCCTACCTGGGGGCGTCATCTACAGCCTCCACACACCCCCACTTGAAACACATTGCCTGGTTGGCTGAACAGGTACGATACGCAGCTTCGCCAACCTATTATACACCTTTACTTCTGATCAAGCTGCAGCTGCCCTAAAAACAACAGATATTCTGGAGAAACAGAATTACCTAAGGGAAAAGCTATTAAAAAAAAATAAAATAAACATATCAGTGTCTTTCTTATTAACTACTTTGACCTTTCCAGTCATACTTCTCATAAGAATCAAGTAAATTTTTTTGATTTAATTTTTGTATATTCAGTTTGTATATTAAGGTTAATACTACCCTCTGGCTTTTAGAGATGATGCCCTAAAGTAAAATGAATTACTGCAGACTCCATGACATCTGCTGTAAAATAGATCAAATGAGTTGTTTCAAAACAATCCTCAAGGGAAAAGCTTTGATTTGGCATTTGGTTGAATGCACACCCCTCTGTTCTTTACCGTGGTCATTGTGTAACACCATCTGGCACGAAAACAAGCTGATGCTGAATTACATGCATTGGAGAAAGATCCCTAAACCGAGAAAAACGCTTCGCCTTTGGGATCTTATTGAAGTAAAGAACGAATTAGCTTCACACAGTAGCACTGCAGCATTCCCTGAAGACACAGCAGCGTCCTGAATCGTCTTGAATTAGGTAGATCGGAGGAGGAGCTTCACCAATGAGCAGAGCTGATGGAACAGTCTGGTGGCTCTGAACTCATGTCTTAATGCCTCCATTTGTTAAATAAAATGTCAAAATAATTTAACTTAATTAATTGTGGTGAAAGAGACAAGTAGATACTAAAACATAAGTGTTCACATCTCAGTGTGTGCTTTTAATCAGTGATAATTTTTTTTTTTATTTGTATGTTGTAATAACGGCTTGTGTCACTACTAAAGACATAATTTTGGACGGGGGACATATGGGAAATTTTTTCGTTTTGGTCCCCTGCACTTTTTACTGTCAATTCAATTCAGTTTATTTGCATAGCACCAGTTCACAACACATATCATCTCAAGGCCCTTTACAGTTCACCAGATCATACAGTCTAATTGATTCAAAGTTTTCTATCTAAGGAAAACCAATTGATTGCATCGACTCATTGACTCGAATGCAATCCCTCACACTAAGCATGCTTGTAGCGATGGTGGAGAGAAAAAAACTCCCTTTTAACAGGAAGAAACCTCCTGGCTCAGTGTGAGCGGCCATCAGTGTGAGCGGCCATCTGCCGAGGCCGACTGGGGTAAAAGGAGACAGAAACAGAGATACAAAAAGTCGCTGTAAGTCGAGCACTGGGACCAAGCAGAATACCGCAGCTCAAGCTGAAGCCTACTTCCCTGAGTTTAGGCAAAAGACAACAGAACATGAGGGAATCTGCTATTGTATGTTAGGAATTTATCTCCCCATTGAGTCACAAAATCTAGAAGGGTTGTTATATCAGATATATTAATTATCATCAAACAATACATCTAAAAATACAATCTATGTATATGATTTTATATATCCAAACTCATAATAACTGTAAAACTATCTGTTTTTAATCTAGATAGATTGTTGCACCCCAAATCGTCAAATTGTTCATGTCATCCATCCATACATTTTGTCAGGAGAGGAATTGCAGAAATGTAACTAAAAGTGGAGGAAACAGAAGTTTTATTTAACTTTTATATGAGTTATATTAACAAATACTTGCAAGCACCCCACCCCCACTTCTGAAATCAAAATTTCATCCATGGGTAATACAAATAAATGTTACTGCTATGGGAGATTTAAAGGATCATCTTGCACCAAAATAAAGTGTCTTTACAAAATATATATATCTGGCGCATGTTTCTACTGTGTAAACATTGATTTGATCCAAGCACATGTATTTAACAGTAGACCTGTGCGACTTCTGCCTTTCTGGCAACTTTTCATGCAGTTTTTATTTGTTTGTTTTTTTGTAAAACTTTTCCTTCAATTGTAAAGGAGAACTGATCCAGACTTTACTGACTGAGCTATCAGCTGATTAATGTTTTCCTTCGTTATTTGTGTGTGGTGCAGAACGTCATACCTTGGAAGTCTATCTCAACCCAAATGGGTCATTTTATATCAGTTACTGACGCAAAAGAGTATCTTTGATTAACTAGTTTTCAGATATTTTCATTTATATGGAAATACTAAATGACAGCCCATCTTTATGTGCTGAAATGCAATAAAATCAAGGCAGACTTAGTAATACATAGAATAGAATTACAGTGCCTGGCAGTGAATTCTGTTTTTCTTTGTGGTCTGCCTTATAGATTTGGGTTTCCTTTAAAACAACAAAAACAAATTAGTTTTACATCTAGATCCAACAAATAAAGGTATCAAATATTGAGCATTAAGCAAAGAAACATGTTTTTTTATTCCTCATGAATAGGGGTAGAGGTTTTCAGTCAAACTGTACACGATAATACAAGATTTGTTAGCTTTGAAAAAAGATATGCCATCAATAGTATTTAGGTCTAGTTTTTTTTTTTTTAGACTTCTAAATGCACCTACCCTGAACTCTGAGATACAGAGAGACTTTTCTCCTCCAACCTAAATGCACAGGAAGAGCATGTTTTCTCAAAACTAACCAACTCTCTAAATTCTAACATAGCGACCAAATCAGGGCTTGTTCTGAAGTGGTTACAGGAACGATACCTGCGTTCATATCTTTTCACTTTAAACCATTCATTCAGGCCCAGAGTGAATGAATGCATGTGTTGTTGTGTTTATCTTGGCACGGCTACGACAGGAAATACAGAGGGAAGTTTCCGTCACATTACGTTACTTCCTGTAAAGCAGCACGCACCCCACAATCAAACCTACTGGTTTGATGTTGTTGCTCGATGGTGGCACAGTTGAATAGAATCGAAATGTACTTTGAGATGGTACCCTCTGAAGAGGATGTTTTGTCAGCACCGGTTTCATAGTAAGAGCTAATTTTTATGGGGAAGCAAGAATGCCCTGGATGATGTTCACTTATCAGATGACACTTGGCATGAAGGTATATGGAAAAAGCCTTAGATCTGTCCCCTTATGAGAAGAGTTTGAGATGTTCACACTCCAACCACAGACTTGGTCTAAGTGTAAGTCTGTGGTTAGTCACCTGCAATTCCCCTTAACTTGAAAACCCAACAGAAGCACAATACTCTAAAACTCCAACCTTCAGTTCTAGCAGCATAAAAAAGATCAAGGCATTAAGAGTTCAAATAGAGAAAAGGACTGACCCAGCAGATTTATAAAAAAAACAAAAACTTTTATTTGTGATGACTCATTGACTACAGGAAGTGGAAAACTGGATTTTTCCTATAAACTAAAGCAATTCATTTATTTAACTTGGTATGATTATTACGCATATCAAGTTCAGAAGGAAACCAGTCACTTCCAGTCTGAGAAGCACAATTTTTTTCCTCGAATATTAAGGAGTACATGAGATTTGCTCACATTAAACTGAAGAGTTGTGCTTTCTCAGTTCAGTCTGTGTTAGTTGTCATTTCTCACCCATAAAACATGCTGGAAATGTCCCATTGCAGTGTGATAAGATAAATTGATGCGTTTTAGCAAAAATACAGCTGCTTAAAAATCTCTCATCAGACACTGGTGGTCTGATATTCGATGGTACTAAGCTGCCGTCATTGCTCCGTCATACTGATGCCCTGTCTGCTTTGCATGTTGGTAAGATATGAAGATAAGCAAACTGAATGCAATCTCCAGGAAAACCAAGTAAAACCCTCCACTTAAACGTATTTTTCCCTCATTTGGTTCAGTGGTAATGAATGCAGATAAAGCAGCTATTCAGTTAATACTACTACTCAGTTCACTTTTTTACCTGAATCAAGTTATGATTTCAGACCCAAGATGACAATTTTGTAACTGCTTTTTTGGAAGCAGTTACGCTTTCCATTCTTTTTAGAGCTAAATTCTTAGCAGAAGTTGCTTATCTTTCTTTATTTTATGCACTGAGACACACCACGTGATGACAAATACAGATTTTACAAAGATGTATGAAAGGTTTGTCTCTGTATGTATGTGTGTGTGTATTAGGGGTGAAACGGTTCACAAAATCCACGGTTCGGTTTGGTTCACGGTTTCGTGGTCACAGTTTTCGGTTCGGTGTATGTTGATTGTTAGGCTGAGATGTTGGTCGTGTTACTGTTAGCATAAACAAAACGTGTTGTACAATGCTTGCACACTGTTTTTATCCATAACTTTCTTTCCGCTGTCATCGTAGAGCCCTCTAAATGCAAAGCTGTCCCATACAGCAGACCTATAAAGTGCTGCTGGCGCGTCTTCCGACTCCTGTTCTTTCCCACTCGCCATTTTTCTGCTACACCCGGCTAAGCTGCTTCGCTTCTTCTTCTTCTTGTTTACTACTGGTGGTTGGCTTTGGTTGCAGTACCGCCACCTTCTGCTCTGGAGTGTACACGCTTCGTCTATGAAAAAAAGGAGCCGCGCATGAACCGAACGCAACACACGCGAACCGAACCGAGACAGTCGAACCGAACGGTTCGGACAGTTTTCATAAACCGTTCCATCCCTAGTGTGTATGCAACAGTTGCTACATTTTATGGCAACAGCCATACTGAACACAAAATGCAAAGTTGGTTTTTATTTTTTCTGAATGGGAACTCGTGGCGGGGTGGGTGGGTGAACACACCATTGATTTCCTGCTAATTTATGCAGATGCTCTGTCTGCACCAGGGAAGACTTAAGGGCTGGTTATACTCCCGCAGCAGTGTGTCACAGTGAGCTTGTCGCAGGTATGACACAGACATTTTTGATTAATGCTCAATATTGAAGCGTAGTCTGTGCTATGTTTATTTCATGCCACAACACAAAAGGGTAAAATCACGTACTAGCTGTGGGTCGAGATACGGCCGAGGCGGTTAGGAAGTGGGGGCAAGTTTGTCCGACAACGTAGGCACATGAGGGCGAAAAAGAGCGGGGATCCAGGTGGAAAAAGGGTCCCAGCGTTCTCGCACATCTCACTTTTCTAGCTGTTCCAACTTCAAGAGTCGTTTTCCGCGGTCATATATACAAAGCAAGTCGGTAAGGTACCAAACAGGAGATGCATAGTGTAGTGCAAATTCAGATTTGACCAATCAGATGCCTCCTGTCTGCGGTCACCTACTGGGGACGGGGCAGGGACCTCTCTGCTTTCACGACGACACCTACGCAGATGACCTAGTTTCGAAGTAGTATAAATCAGCCTTTACTCACTTCTGCATGTTAAATGCTTGAAGTGGCTGTAAAACCATGAGTTTGTTTTCTCTTGATAAAATCAGCTGATAAAAATTTATCAATCTGGTGGCAACCAAAGATTTTATATCAAACTTTCATCCCCAAATCCCTAGGTTATCACCTTATAGGGATAACGGGAATAAGGATAACTCGTTGTCACTTGGAGAAAGAACTTCAATTTCCATAAAAAATGCGGCGCAATGTTAATTTTTATCAACCCCCAAAAAGCCTTATTGTATGCATGTAACATATTTTCCTTATAAGCAGTTCACACATATGAGGGAATTTACACTTCATTTCCTCCCGTTCGGCTGACGTTGAATTAATTTTTAGAAGTGACATACAGTACTTGGTTATAATTGTAAAACTATGAAATCAGCCTCCAATCTATTTTTATGAAGCATATTATTTGACTGAGAGGAAACCAGCTCTTTATTCGTTCTATTTAAAAAGCATGGAAGTACCTTGTAGAACTGCTGTGGTTAAAACCAGCCACATGTCTGCAACTGTTTTCTTTAGACCTGAGGTAAAAAAAAAAAAAAGAAGTCATTTATTTCTGTCTCAAGCCAGAAAAATCTGTTTCTAGTATATTTTTGTATGAAACCTTTTAAATCATCCTCATAACATTACTTATCTATTCCTTATTTATTTAACTAATAAAAGCCTCAAGAATAAAGGGTAAGGCTTAGAAATAAAAATCATTTGGGGATTTTAGCTCCTCTTTGTGTTTATTAGCTTCAGTGTGTCATCTTAAATGTTTTTTCTTAGATTCAGCTGGAGGGCGGACGGCAGCAGTTCAGGCCGGTGGTCATGGCACTGACGGAAAAAGACATCCTGCTGTTTGAATCTGTGCCGTGGAGCAGAGAGTCCTGGTCCATGCCTCTACTCACACACCCGCTGCTTGCCACCAGGTAAAAACAACCAACTCTGAATTTGAATTATTATCCAACAGGGAGCAAGGAATGTTTAAAAGTCCCTGATTAAACCATGGCCTCAATGGTTAACAGGTGTCCCTCATTGTGTAGTGGTTTAAGAGTGTATACACACCAGCACTGCTTAATCCACTCTTTGGCCAGAAAGAGCGCAATCAAACTATGATGCAGGCAAAAAAAGCGAACTCTGATCTGCCTCAAACCTAAATCTCGGCTCGGCTGAAGTGAACTCTGATGCGGTGTGAATAGAGATATGAATGCCAAGCAGACTGGAGACCGCTCCAAAAGCTGTAATTGTACTGTAATAACAAATTGAGTTTTTTCAAATATCAATTATACCTTGCTGCCTGTGCAGTCTTGAATTAGTTCAATTAGGTGTAATTTGCAAGATCTTGTATTTCGCTGCCTCATTTGGAGCTGTCTCACCTGACCTGGTTATAAATAAAAATAAAAACGGTCATCTGCTTTGTTTTTGACAAATAGAGAAAACTACAAGAAGGTAGTTTTGTGTTGTTGACCAACTGTCTTTCTATAGTGGTTCTCGGTGCGTCGCCACCGCAGGCCAAGGGATAAACGGATGGGTCAACAGGTTTGTTCCGGTTTGGCAGTGTCCTGTAAATACAAACCGCACCAAATGAAAATGATTCAAATGTGGCAATTTTGGTCTTTAATCGACCTGAGTTTTCCAAACTATCAGGTGTGAAAACGGCCTTAGTCTCTGGCTGCTATGCAGAGGACCCTGGTTTGAATCCTGGATATGGCAGGACTGGCATCGGTGTGAAACTTTGCCAAGTATGATGAGCAGGTGATAATGATTTGCCTTGGCAGCTGGTGACAAGTAAGCAGCTGTAAGGACTTACTACTAAATTTCTGTCAGTTAATTTTCCTTGAGCTTTATATCAAAGGTAGTTTTCTAAGGTACCTGGTGCATTTTTATTATTTAGTATTTTCTGATTATCTTTAACAAAAGCTAGCTTTTCCTTCTATTTGTCCATATTAAGCTTTAAGGAAGGTAATTTTGCGTTAATGTTTACTTAATTCAGAACTGATGCTAATAAATCTGATCATTTAAAGAGCTTATTCAATTCTATTGCAGCATATTTTTAAAGAATGTTTATTTTATTGTAAAATGTTAGCAAGGTTACTTTCGACTGTCTACGAATTGTGAGTAAATGTTTAGAAACAGACCAGCAAACTTTTTTTTGTGAATTTTCCTATGATGAATAGTGAGAGAGCCTAATTTCAATCTCACATTTTTCTGAACAGTTCTGCTTTCTAAGTTTAGTCATTGTATTTATAGTATAATACTGACTAGTTTTACTTCTGTCAAAATATGCTATAAATTTAAAGTGAATCACAGCCGCGTTTATGACAAAGGGCAACAAAAAACTTTGCTTCAGTCGTCTTTCATAGAGAGGATCAGGAAGGCTCTGCTGGTGATGGTTTGTTCTCAGCCTGCCAATAATATGGAACCAACCAGTAGCTTTAACCAGTATTGTGTTGAAAATAGGAGGATCATTATTAGTGCAAATTGGGACTAAATGATTTTGCCAAAAAATAAAATTGCAATTACTTTAAACCAATATTACAATTGTGATTTTATTTTGAGTTTCTTTTGCAGTCAGAGCAGCCATGTAAATGTTTCCCTACGGGGTTTCAGGTTTTTCGTGACCTTTAAAGCTTGCTTTGTAAGAGTCTGTTGTTAAAGGACCTTTGTGTAGAAAACTGCTAAATATTAGTTGCATGGATGAATCTGCATCCTAGCTGCTCTCTCTTCCACATTGTGGGGTTGAAAAACCCACTTGAAGCATATTACCACCACCTAAAGGACTGGAGGGAGAATATTTGCTACTTATTAAATGTAATATGACCAGAATTCAGTGCCTCTGCAATTACATTTTTTTTCTAATTGCAGTTATATTGCAAATGCAAATAATTGCCCAGCCCCAGTGCAAATAACGTTTCAAAGTCTCACACGAACAATTCAAATCTCATTTAATGGATGAAATCTTTTCCATGAGTGGCAAACATTCTTTGACTTTCCATGTCTGTTTACAACAAATGAGCAGGTCATGCTAAGTGATCTTTCACTTTAGAGTCCTTCATTTCGGCCTCACCTCAAGTGCTCCATCCCAGATAGCGTTACAGTGATGTCCTAAATAATACAGAGCCAAAAATAAAGTGAAAAAACTGAGATTGTGTCTTGAGAGCACATTTCTTGATGTCTTGAGTTTCTCTCAAACTGATTAGATAGAAATGTTTGCTTTACAAATTTCCTCATCTTATCGTCATTATGTTTTTCAAGTTTTTTTTTTTTTCAAATAGCAAGAAGAAGCAAAGACCCTGATTCATTAAAGCACATTGGTTAAAAGAAAAAAAGAAAAGCTTAAATGTGGCAGGAAGACATGCCGGGTTGTGGTGGGGTGATCTGTTTAGTTTAGGAGAGAAACTGCAGCTGTAAATGTTTTTTTCATCTCATTTAAAAACCAAAACAAGAACCTTGCAAATGTCAACATTTAATCCGTCATGGTTAGAGACCTGAGAGTCTCTGTCTGCAAAGTTTTTTCTCTATGCTAACTGTGATTTAACATGATTTCCTCTCTCTCTTGTCAGACTGGTCCACTCTGGCAGCGCTCGGGGTTCTCCGTCCCACGGTTCAGACCTGGTGTTCGCCACTCGGACCGGCACCGGGCGTGGTATCGAGTCGCACATCTTCAGAGTGGAGACTCACTGGGATCTGTCCACGTGGACACGCGGTCTTGTTCAGGGGGTTCACGCTGCAGCTGAGATAATCAAAGAAGTCTCTATTGGTGAGTGACCGCACAGCCGGTAGCTCACCTTGGATGCTACACGTTTTGTTTTTTTTCTGGAGGAAGTGAGTCTTAAGTCTTGATCTCAGAGTTGTGATCCCCACATTATGATGTCAGCTTCCTTGACTTGCTTTATGCACAAGTCAAGGAAGACCACGTTATGCTTGATCCAGCCAGTAATATAACATCTCACTGGAGTGTTTTTTTCTGAACACTACTAATACTTTGTTTGACTAGATGTGGATGAATCCAGCTCTAACAAGCAGATACCAGTTTTTTTTCTTTTCTATTCTTTTTTGTATTTACTTGGAATGCATAGACTAAATGAGATGATAATGTTCTCTAGATTCTTTGATAGGTCGCAGTACTTAGACTCCAACATAAAAAGAAAGGATTAAGGGATTATCACCATTAAATCATCACTTACATCCATTATGCTGGTAGATGTTTAAAGGTGGGAATTCTTAGTTTAAAATGCAAAGGAGAATCTCTTTAATTCTTAACACCTTGAAGACAACAAAGAGATTGCAAGCTTTATTAAAAAACATTGTAATCCAGCTAGGAAACTAGTATGGAAACCAAACAAAGCATTGGTAGTAAGTTTTAGCTAAGAGGCTGTTTTAGAAGTTTATACTTCCTGCTGTTCCTTTACCTTTAGTCAGTTTTTCTACCTTTAACACTTTGATTAATTAATTTCTTATTGTCTTGTGCTTTTTATAGGTATTATTATCGTCGATATTTTATGTCATTTTTTTGTTTTTCATAAATAGATACAGAAATTAACTGCCTAACTAACTAAGGTTAAACATCAGCAGGTTGTTTTAGCTGTCATACAAAAAAGTCTACCTCTCTACCTATAAGCGGTTAATCAATCAGAAATCCGTCTAAGTTTCCTAAGACTCAGAATTTTTTCTAAGGGTGGTATTGCTAGAAGAGCAAAAGAAAGTATTTGCACGAAACAATCAGATGAGATTCTGATTTCCAGCATGATTTCTGCCATCGTCTCTGTAAATTTTCTTTTGGGAGCACCTCAAAATACCTCAGAACCAGCACAGCCGACATTTATATCAGTGTTATTTCATACTACGTCTGGTCGAGGTTTTTTTCAGACAGTTTGGAGCAGGATAATGATATTTAACCACAGGATGGGGTTCTTTTTTACATGTCATCATACTCACCTGTAGTTAGCAGACGTCCGTTATTGTCCTTTAAGGTAACATATGCTTTATTTCTTCAACTCACATTTATAGATGTTTTTTTCTGTTAGGACCTATGAAGTCATCACTTTGATTTCCTTACTAGCGACAGGAAGGTCCTGACAGCAGCTGCGCCAAGCAGTTTGTTGCAGCTCTGTGTTGGGAAAAGCTCAGGCAGGATCCAGGAGAAGGGAATGTTTCTGCTCGGAGCAGAACAATAGCTGCCTGTCGCAACAGTTCTGGAAAGACTCTGCCTTTTTTTTTTATCCTCCCTCCTTGTCCAGCTGCTACACAAACACACGGTTGTGTAGAAACATTTGGGGCATTGGAGACGCAGTGTTACATGCTGAAATGTTTTTGGATCAAATGACCTGTGCCTGTCCTGGGTTGTCTAGGTTCTACATTGAAAATTGATTTTTCTGTGGGCTTTATTTCAGTTTTGACATTTTTTGAAAACCGAATGTTTACATACACTTTTAAAACAAAGGCACACACTCTTCTCTTTGGAGTCTGGCATTAATATAGACTAAATGTTTTCATGCTTTATAACAGCCGGGATTACCAAAAATATGCTAAATAGTATATATATATATGGATTTGTTTGATCTTTGGATATTCAGGTCAGTCTGGAGACTTTTGGGAAAAACAACCTATTTGTTGTTTTGGGGTGTTTTTTTTCTTTCTTTTCTTTTAAGCTTATTTTTCTCAACTTTTGAAATGTTTTCCTTTTTCTGAACATTTAGCTTTTTTAAGGTTCTTTCCTGAGCTTGTATTTGGTGTCTATTGAAGTGGATTTAAATATTTTAGAGTTTGACCTCACAGTTCTTTCTTTGTTATTGTTTTTTTTATCCTTTCTGGCAGGTTGTACGTTGAACAGACAGGACGTCCGGCTCACGCTTCACTACGAAAAGGGCTTTACTGTTACAAGGGAGCCAGCAGACCAAACAGGGGGCACAGTGCTCTTTAGGTACCCCTATGAGAAGCTCAAAATGTCCGCCGACGATGGAATACGCAACCTTTACCTTGACTTTGGTGGTCCAGAGGGAGAAATGGTGAGTTAGGAAAATGTTAAATTATTACAGCTTTACTTTTCTTCAGCGCTAAGTCTTGGACACTTATTCTATTACTTTCTCTTTTTTCGTTTTGATATCTCTATTCTAATGCTAACAATACATTTTTTAATCGAAATCAATCGCAGAAGCTTAATGGTTAATTGTGATTAAAGACTGTTTGTAAAATAAAAATAGTGTTATTTGTTATATCAAGGCAGTTCTAAGCTCATATATTTAACCGTACTCTTCAAGGGGAATCAAACATATAGAATATCCTTGTTGATCTAATTAATCTAAAAAAATAAATAAATAAATTAAAAAAAACGTTGAAATGTTTTCCTTCCTTGTAAAAGCAAATGCAGCCAGCATGGTGAGGCATTCTCTCCTCTCATTGGTCAATTATACCCTCGTTAATCTGAGGTGATGTCATCGACAGCAACAAAAGATAAAACAAAGCCTGCAGGTGTAAAAGCTCAAAATTTCATGTGGATAATTTCAGCTTGGCTAAAAAAAGGGCAAACAATTTCTGCCTCAATACACAAGTTCCTTTATTAGAAAAAGAATGGAATCTTTTAATTATTTGTTTATTTTTTGTAAGATCGTGTTCAAGATCTGCACTAAAGTTCAACAAAAGGAAAAACGGCTAAATCATTTAAATAAAGGCTGAAAATCAAATCTAATTACAAAGTAAAATGATTTCTGAATATTCCTGGTTTTTCATTATTAAAACAGGAAGGGTCGTATTTAATTGAATCTAAACCAATAATCTTTCTAATCTCCTTTAATCTAAGTCAATAAACATTCTTTTTATCATTTTGTGGAATCATGGATTAGCTCTGCAGTGTTCTGAGCCCATCTGTCATGTGTTTACATTACATTTGTTTACAATAAAGCATCAGATTGGGACAACACTTCACACCCATGGTTCTGTGTTTTTCCAAACCACTCCACTCAGACAGAGAGCGACGACTGATTTATGACTACTTCAGTCTAAAGAAAACATTAGAAGACAATAGCCTTGTGTCCTTACTTCATGTTCTCTTATCACTTACATTTTCTTCTGCCATTACAATCAAACCAGGCCTGGCCTTTTCCTTTTTGTTAGTTTTGTTATCTGTATGCAAATGGTGATCAGAAAATGTAATAAACTGTATTAAAAATCTATTTTGAACTTCTACTGAAATGTTAGTGGATTGCAGGCAAACTCTTGTAAAAAAACAAAACAAAAAAAACAGCCTTCCTGCAGAATAAATGACTTTAAAATCAGCAACAGACTAAACATTTCAGGTTTATGTCAGTCGACTTTGACTGAGGGAGATGTATTTCTTGGACAAGGTAAGACATTCTTGGGAAGTTCGTCAGTTTGTTCTGTTCTGGTAAAAAGCAGACTGGACTGGGCCTAAAACCAACTATGTGTAACACAGTAAACCACATTCTTTCATAAAAGGATTCTGATATGTTGCACAATTATATGTTGCACAATTTTTTATATATATATATATATATGGCAACATTCACAGTTAGTTTTAAGAATTTAGGAATATTGTTTTTCTTTTGCTCAACACAAACATTGATTTCGTTCCTTCATGTGGTTTAAAACCTACTTTTTCTTCTTCAACTAATATAAGTGGATGGTTTTGCTATTTTTGTTTTCTGCTCCTTCGATAGGAATGGATGGAGTAATATATAATTTCAGCAATCATCAAAGATAATTTAATATTTGTACTGCAATGGAACCAAAACAATGTTCATTATTTTACTTGCATAAGCAGCTTATTTTAGAACAGAGGATTTATTATCAAGGCATGTTGTACTTTAGCATCCCTGTATTTGTCATCTCTGATCTTTTTCTCTTCTTTATTGTTTTGTTATTTTAACGTCTTACTCACTGCCTTCCTTCCTCCCTCCCCCCCTGCAGGTGTTCGACCTCCACTCGGGTCCAAAGCCGGTGGTGTTTGTTCTCCACTCCTTCCTGTCAGCCAAGCTTACCCGCATGGGTCTTCTGACGTGAATTGGCCGACTAATTTCAGCACAAACAGAAGGATTTTCTTTTACAGTTTTTTTTTTTTTTTCTCTCCCCATGTTTTTTCGACTGACAGTTGAAGTTAGGCCTTTGGACGCGCTGCAGGTAAAGTTTAAAGCATGAGTCGCTCTCTTGATTGTCACAGAAATGTGCCTTCCAGCTCCCCCTCAGCCTCTGATCATCTGCGCTGCAAAGTTGATGCGAAAAGGAATGAGCGTTTCGCTTCAGGTCAAGAGGATTAAGGAAGCTACTTTGGCATGTGAAAAAGTAGGAGTTTAAGGATCTCACTCCAATCCATGGAGCAATGTTTAATCCTTGTTACGATGAGAGGATGTGGTGAACGACGTACTTAAGAGACTGCAACAGTAAAAAAAAAAAGAAGTCAGGAGGGATTTTGTAGATACAAACACAAAGTTAAGCACAAACTAGTCAGTTTTCCCTGTTTTATACTCTGCCTATCATTCCACAACAGCCTTCCCAAACACCAGGGCTTTTTTAACTTGTGTTTGTCTTTGTGCCAGCCTGTGTTAGGAAGGTGTTTTAGGGTCACAGTTCAGTTACCTGAGCAGAAATGGTGTGACTGAGTGTCTCCATACTACATGCTTCTATTGGCTAGAGGTGTCTGCACATTATCCCAACCTTATATTTGTAATCAGGATCGCCATTGGTGCCTTTTTAACTTGTAGTCAAAGACACTCTTTATAATGTTTCCTTTTATATGTCACATAACAGGTTTGAAGCTTTGATAATGCACAAGCAATAGTATTAATACATGTTACTTTGTTTTATGTGTATATCTCTGTCTATCGTGATGCTATGACTTTCTGATGGTAAACTCTGTATCAGATATGTCCTCATTTGCTGTTACCCTCTATCCTTTACCTAAAATTCTACATATTTTCCTTTTCTGTTTATTTGTCCAAAATGGTCAAAATTTCATATTTTTTGTTTCCTACTTAACTCAAACTACTTCAGTAAGCGATGGTATAAAAACTTGTCCAACAGGTTTGTATCACGTGAAATAGATATGAATGTACTTTAACAGCGGCTTCATACTGAAACGTATAGATTTTTTTTTTAAAACTCTGCCTCAGATAATACAAACAAGCACTCTTATTTAGTAAGTTTTGTCATCTTTTCTGATTTTACACCTTCAACTTCAAAATTGACCAAATATTGCTAAACTATAATATATATTTTTTTAATTAACATAAAAAAATAAACGAATGAAAAGGGCTTAGCTTCTATAAGTAGTCATCCTAAAGTGAATGAAATATGATTGATTGTCCAACTTTACATTGAAGATGCTTCAGATTAGGGTCCTGTTGAATAATAAAAATAAAAAAATCTATTAAAGTTATAGTGGAGGATGTTCTTTTTCCAAGTGGATCATCAAAATAAGTGGTCCTCTTAATTGTCAATCATTCTGGTGATATGTAGGGGTGTAAATAATCGTTTGGTATCGATCCAACAGCCAACGATCCAATGCATCGACACGTCTGCAAAAGTATCGATTCATGTTTTTTTTATCCTCCGGTCTATTTTTATCATTTTGCTCCTGGATGTTATTCTGACTCCCGTGCTGTGGTGGCGCTAAACCTATTTTGCCCTCCTACCTGGCTTCCTTTAGCCACTACCCTCTTTCCACATTCACACACACAATCGCTTTAACAGTAGGAAA